CTGGCATTTTCTTCCACCAGAGATAGGGCTTCGGTCTCTCCGGGCAGCTTCAACACTGCACACCTGCATCAACAACAGTTGTGACATTAAAAACAAACAAAGTATCGATCTAGCAAGTGAAACCAACTGAGAAAAATAAATTCAAATATGCTGTTCATGATCTACGCAAAAGATAAAACTCAACCATGTACAATTAAAGACCGAATCAAAACATAGACGACAGTTCAAATAGATTGGTAAACACTTCATGAACACATTGAGTAAAGCAACTCCACACAAGAGGTAAGCAAACCAAGCTCCCAAAAACATGATACCAAGAATCTTCTATTTTGACATCCTAGAAAACATGATTAGAAAAACCTATTCACATTAAGTCTCGGAAGGTAAAAGAATAATGCAAAGCGATCCTTACCTTGAATTGATATTCAGTATTTCTACATCCTTCCCCACCAGAATATCCTTGAGCGAAATAAAGCTAGGAACATGACTAATTGCCTCAGTAGATGAATATTTGATCTCTCGAAGCTTAAGATAAATGAATGGACTGTGGTTTCCTGGGTGATGGTAAAAGAAGGCATTGAGACGAGAATTAAACATCAACAGACCATCATTCTCAAAGTATTTCATGGGTATGTATACGCCACCTGGCCACCTTCAATAAAAACCAGTACGAATCGAAATCTTCTTCATCCAAAGTTTTTGTGAACCAGAATCATTCATTACCCACACATTGATTTCAAAACTCTCAGCTTTACACAGACATAGACTACCTCCCAAATCTCCCATGCTCACATCACGACCATCCTCCTGTCCAGAAGGCACTGATGGAACCGATAGGAACTCTTCAGTATCCAAGTCAAATGAAATCACACTACAACATGACCAGTCATAGGAAAACCAATAAAGCATTCCTTTCACACAAGTGGGGAATGATAGCTCAGAGTCTGAGCAGCGAGCAGTGCCAACAGATTTCCATGAACCTGTTCCCAGGGTGTGTATCTCAGCCACCTTATTGGTATCAGGTGTCTGTTCCTTAAGAATTCTCATAACCTTATATTCGTTAGTCCTCGGACTGAAACCTAATCCACTACCGATTAAAATCATTGCCTTCTCATGTTTAGGACCACGGGGAAGGTTTATAAATTCGCCGGTTATTGGATTGCACACAGCAGCAGGGTTATTCCCAAAAAAATAAGACAGGCAAAGCAAACCGTTACAAGAATTCACCAAGTTGTAGTTGTTGTGATCATAATGCATCATGTAAGCAGTAGCGTCACCGAAATCCACCTCGTTGTTGTTGTCATCAATTTGCGTTATCTTCATGTGAACCTTTCTTGTAGTTTCATGACTAGGCATCACATTGCCATTCCTATGGTAATTGAGTAACTCCTCAGCATCACACAATGGGAATTTATATTTGGAAAGATTCATGTGGACACGAGACCGGTTACAATCATGGTCCTTCAAATCAAAACCAGAGCTATCTTCAGGCTCAACCAAGTAAAGGTTTCTTGACACGCTTCTTCGATCCACGGGCCGGACCATAGGATAGGCCTCTGCTTGTGCGAAATGCAGCCTAGCAAACGCAGGGTCCGAAATTAGAGAATACCAAGTCTTGCAGACGCTTTTGCACATGATAATGCTCTTCGTTGGCAGCTTTATTATAACATCTTGAAGGACAGACTTTGGAACATCTGTTATAAAAGGACCCATTTCTGTGTTTCGTATTTGGGTGGCTGAAGCTGTGGATTTTGATGTAGGATAGGGTTTAGGTCGTTTAGTGGTAGCGAAAACAATGAAAAAACAGAAAATAGATGGATAAAGATGCAATGGCTTCACACCAAGAATTCTCCAATCTCTTCAAAATAAACTTTACTCAATAACTCAAATCTCCAATCTCTATTACATAGGAGGAGGGGGGGTGTATTTATAACAATCTAACCCTAGAGTGTAAAGAAAATTAAACTTATTCTAGGAAAGAAATCCTAATCCAAATAGAAAAAGGTAATCAAATAAGAAATCCAGAAAGTATAGAAAATTTATGAAACAAGTTAGAAACGCAGGAATCATCTACTGCTCCAAATTTGCAGGATTTAAAGAAGGAATTAAGTAATTTCCTCTTCCATCTCTCTAATGGGTTTGACAAAGATTTCCTCATCAGATTTTCTTTTCCTCTTCGTGAATAGAAATAAAAAATAAAATAAATGAAGGGTCAGAATCCAAAATCACTACATTGGCACAGAACCCAGAACTGACCGGCAAAATTAAAAACGGATGGAAGTGGAAAAAGAACCATTTACATGTTTTTCCTATTACAAACAAGTTTCAGCGTAAATCAGTGATATAAATTTGAAACTTAAAGACGTTTTAAAGAAATAAAACTGAAAGAACTGAAAGGATTACCTGAAGAAATGGTAAGAACTACGACATGGTAGAAAGAGAGAGCCCTACTTGCAGAGAGAGAGAGATCAAGTCTGGCACCTAACGTACGCGAGGGTTCAACTTGGGGGGAAAGAGGGGTCTGCTTGCTTGGCATGGTTCAAGAAACGGTGAGCATGGGTAAGAGCACTTCCAGCAGGGGGCTAGGCAGTTACTATTAATATGAATAGCGGCTGTCCTCGTAAAATGTTGTGGTGTTTTCATCAATTGCCATGATAACAATTATTCACATGAGATATGAGGAGATAAATTTGTATAGAGTTTTGGTGTGGGAAGTGAAAAGTATGACTAAGTATATATTAAAAAAAATTCTGAATTTTTTTGTATTTTTTTTTGATTTTTTAAAAATTGTTTGTACACACGTATTAAATTCTCGAAACAAGACACTTTTTTTTTTTTTTTCAACTAATATTAGGCAAGGGGGGATTCAATCACATGTGCTCGAGTAGCAAGAGAATCGATTAAGTTTCTACCATTGATTATGAACCTTATATTTGGTTCTTGATATTTGATGGGTGCAGGTGCAGCAGAATTTGTTTGCTAGGGAAATGGCATTGATGTTAAACAAGCATCCATCAGCAAGTCAGTTGTTTTCCCTTTTTTTTTTTTTTTCTTTTTTTTTTTTCCCTTCTAATCAGGAAATCCCTCTGTTTTGAAACAAAGGATTATCCCTTTGTATGATGGTCTTTTCTGTTTTATGTCATCTTTTGGTTGTTTCCATAGTTCCTTATTCCTCTACATTGTGTTGTCTTTTTTTTTTTTTTGGTTTAACAAAGGATTATCCCTTTGTATGATGGTCTTTTCTGTTTTATGTCATCTTTTGGTTGTTTCCATAGTTCCTTATTCCTCTACATTGTGTTGTCTTTTTTTTTTTTTTTGGTTTGAAGTTTGAACCACGAGGGGGTCCTGGATGGGCCCCAACTATGGGTGGCATCTTTAAGCCTTAACCACAACCCAGACTAATCCCCGCTCACACCGGATCGGCCTGTAAGGGGTAAAGTGCTGGCCAAAGTGGTGACTCCGTACAAGAGCAGGGATCGAACCACTGACCTCTCTTAAGGAATGAGAGTGCCGAACCACTCACACCAACCACCTTGGATCATTGTGTTGTCTTTTTATTTTCATAGAAAGTTTGATTTTTATGTTTTATTATAGTTTCATTTATTGCTAATGTATTAGAGTATTTATGAGGATGACATCTCTTCTGATGCAGGTTTATCATTTGAGGCTGTCGCGTAACGGCAAAAACGAAAAATCTATTGAAAGCCAAAAGCAAATAAAATACCCTAAATTTAAAAATAAAATAAAAACACATCAAACTTCTAAAGAATTCATGGGAATTATTAGACAAAAACAAAATAAGAAACAAGATCCACGCTCCACATCCTCTTGGGCAATACGAAGAGAGCCATACACCATACCGGCTAAAACCCATAGTGTCACACTAGCTAAACCCGAACCCAACGCAACTCATAATCATCCCCGCTTTATAGCTTAGCTCCGTAAAGTCTAACAACAAGAGAAACATCATTTAATGCGTGGGCCAAAAGACGACAACTATCTCATGGCAACGAACCCATAAGGAAAATGAAGGGACACTACTACAAAAAGTGAAAAAGACGACCAGAAAAAGACGACGGTAGAACAAAAAACCGTCGTTGTTTTAAAAAAGACGACGGTAACAAAAAACCGTCGTGGATAAGTGACTTAAACAACTAAAAAACGGAGGTACTGTTGAATTTTTTTTTATAACGACGCACACAAATAAAAAAGCGTCGCCTTATTAAAAAGGTTTTCTTCAGAGTTAAAATATGACAAAAAAACAACGACAGCAGGTATGACAAGCGTCGGCTTTTAAAAATCAAGTGTCCTTTTTTTGGTAAAAACATGGTTGTTTTGAAAGAACTGTCGTCTATTATATGTAAAGATGACGGTTTTTTTTAAAGAACTGCCGTCTATTATAAGTAAAGATGACAGTTTTTTTTTTTAAAAGAGTCGTCTATTATATTTAAAGATGAAGGTTTTTTTTATAAAAACGGTTGTCTATTATGAAGTAAAGACGACCCTTTT